TTTTGTGGCAAAGACCCACTGTCGGGCTCCGATGGTCCGGAAGTATTTCCGCCGGATCCATCCTGCGCCCTTGTGGGGATGCCGACGTTTTGCCCAACGCCACAGGCTTAGCCATATCGCATAACTGATTTTCCTGAACGTCTGTTTCGTCACAACATGCTGATTGTAATTGGCCCATCCACGAAGCATCGGGTTGAGTCTTCGTATCAGTATGTCGTGCCGCACCATTGCATTGCCCTTGATCACTTCCCTTACTTTGCGCAGAAAACGTTGAACGCTGGTAGGGGCGGGTTTGATTAACAATTTGCCCCCATATTTGCGTACGTTCATGCCGAGGAAGTCGAATCCATCGCTGATATGCGTGATCCTGGTCTTTTCTGGCGACATCGAGAGACCCCGCTCCGCCAGAAACTGCTCGACCATAGGGATAACTTCTTCTGCCAGCATTTCACGAGTCACACCGGTTATGATGAAGTCGTCCGCATATCGAACGATATTGACCTTCGACGGATTGCGGGTACTCCTGCGATATTTAAGTCGCAGCAGGTGTTCTAATCCATCTAGAGTCATATTCATCAACGTTGGCGATATGATCCCCCCTTGGGGTGTGCCCGCCGCTGTTGGATAAAGGACATTATGGTGAAAGTAGCCAGCTTTCAGCCACATTCGTAAGATCGCCTTGTCCATCGGGATATTGGCGATCAGCCAGTTGTGCGATATTTCGTCAAAGCAGCTACGGATGTCAGCTTCAAGGATCCATTCCGCACAATCGGTGTGTGAAAGTGCCTTGAAACACTGTTCAATTGCATCAGCCGTTGACCGGGCAGACCTGAACCCATAGGAGTTCGGGTCTGCGGTTGTTTCGGCTATCGGTTCCAGCGCGAGCAAGTGTAGTGCCTGCTGCGCCCGGTCGATCATGCAGGGAATGCCCAGTGCCCGCTGCTTCCCGTTGGCTTTGGGGATGTAAATCCGCCTCAGTGGCTGAGGACGATAGCCCCGTCGCCTGAGTGATAATACTGCTTTGAGCTTGATCTTCGACGTAGACCACGTAACCCCATCCACGCCAGAAGTTCGTTTGCCGCGATTCTCTGTCACTCGCTTAACGGCGAGAGCTTTGCCGCTGAACGAGTGGGTGAGCAGCCATTGCAGAGCTTTCACTCTGCCATGTCTGCCTTCCTGTGTTGCCTTCACGATACGTGCCTGAAGCCTTCTGACCTCGCGGTGGCATCTTGCCCAGTCAATACTGTGCCAGTGCGTCGCCTGATCGGAAGGTGCACCAGAGCTATTTAGCTGCGCCGTCATTTGCTTTCCCTCCTTTAAAGGTTCGCCAGACTCTCTCGTGATGAAAGACCAGACTGAAGTTTGCCCGCTTTCGCGTGAGGTAATGTTGCCCAGCGACGCAACCTCTATCCATTCGATTACAGAATGGCCTTCGCTTTCTCAGTCCTCCTCTATCCGCACCGCCGACAGTTTCCCTTACGGGGCCCCTGCCCGAATGGGCAACGATACGGACTTACCATGTTCCGTTCGAAGAACGCGATGGGTTAGGTTCTGCCTCTCCGCCGGTAGCTCTGTTGTCCGCGTATTCCCAGTATAAAAAGGAATATCCAGCTACTTTGCCTTTTGGCTACAGCCTTTCAGTACCTTTGGCTGCTTAATATTGACGACGTTTAAGAGCAGTTCACTTCTGTTAACCATACCATCAAGCCTAGCGCTCAAGCCGCGTTGGTACTTGCAGCCCTTGCTACGTTGTCCCGACCGCTTCAGACCCAACAGTTACCCGTCGAGCATGGATCAGTAGGCTACCGCTGACGGAACAGCGGGCTTTGTCCCCGCGATGTTTTGCGGGTGAAGCAATTCTTCGAGCGACTTCATGTCGCACTTATACCTATAT